TTGTGCACAACCTGGATGGCTGCGAGATCTCATTAGTGGGAGATGATTTGGACCCAGAGAGGGAGTATCTGCTCCTGGATGGGGCACTGCTGCAGCAGCGGGGCTTAGAGCTTGTTAACACCTCTGCCTACCTGACCATCACAGGTAAGTCCTCTCCTTGGCCACAGCTGTCTAATTACCCCTCTCTCACTGCCTGTCAGGCATTGCTGGGAGAAGCACTTAACCTGCCGTTAGAGATGCATTGGTGTACTTTGTGAGACTCTGAGGTGTGACCATTTGTTGAAGCCCTAGCTTTTGGAAGTCCCAAGCCATTTCCTTGGGGAGGTGGCTCCTCCTCCAGCACACAGTAGTAGGGCAGAGCGTCTGAGCTCTCACCCAGGCTTGTATCACTCCTCCTGATTTACTCCTTGGGGTCTGGTGTTCTCAGGTTCCATCAGCATTTTGCGTCACATGACTGGGGGACAGCACATCCCAGAGGTTGTGGGCTGGTACAACACTACTGTACTCTCCAGAACTTAACAGGGCTGTTGCTCTTGATCCTTCCTTCCCTTCCACTTGTTTTATCAATGCCAGCACGGACTTGATCAGTTCCTTTGCAGCTAGCTCCATCTCTACTCCCTTCCTAAAATTAACGAACCCAGCATTACCTTGGATTCCTCTATAGCTCCTACGTGCTACAGGGTTACAGTGCCAGAGGACTTTGAAGCAGGAGCTTTCTCACCCCACACCAATCCTCTCTTCGTGTCTCAGGCGTGGAGAGCATTGCAGTTTACGAGGAAATACTACGCCAGGTCTCATACCACATCAACCATGGTGCTGCCCTTTATGAAAGGAAGTTTCACCTGTCCTGCACTGAGATGAATGGACGCTACTCCAGCAATGAGTTTACCGTTGAGGTACAAGATCGATACATGCACACGTAGGTGCTTGTACATGCATGGAGAAGGACATGCTGGACAGGAATGCACATGGTGTAGAATGTACCATTAACACAGGGCTGACTCTCTCTCGCTCTGGTCTTTCTGCAGGTGAATGTCCTCCACAACATGAACCGAGCCGCTCATCCTAACCATATTCTGAGTTCCCAGCAGTTCATGCACCGAGGCCATCATTTACCCCCAGAGCTATCTGGACACAGTTTGGCAAGCACCCATAACAACCCAAGTATGTAACACTATCTTTTGGGTTTATTCCTTTAGGTTAGGATGCTGATTTTCTGATATCCTGGTAGAACCTGCAGCAGAGGATTCCTTTCAGGCTCCCTATACCCATGTTATTGAGTTCTCAATATACTGTCCTGTCCCACTCGTCATTACCAAATGGACTGCAGTCTGTGTGAAATTGTGGTTTAGAGCTTGGTGCAACAATCCTCCTCTTTTGGTGTGCTGTTTTCTTGATGTAGCAGCAGCCTGAAATTTACAGCTGAGGAGGTCGAAAAAGAACAACAGTAAGCTGGTAGGATTTCATTCATGCACCTTGCAGGTGCCCATGCAGGCTTGGGTAATGTCAGTTCAGAAAGAAACTTCAACAGCAGGAGAGAAAGGAGAATCAAGACTGCCACTGCTCTAAAAAAAAAAAAAAAAAAAAGAGATGGGACTAGCTGGGGCCAGCAAGGCAGACAAATACAGATGGCACCACACAGACAAGAGGATTCTTGCCCCCAAAAGAGAGGAGAGAGAAGCCTGAAAGCTAGACTAGAGATTAGATTTATTGGTTTGTGCGGGCAGCCCTGTGCTACAAGCATGACCACAGTCCAATTGGCTCCTCCTGGGCTGTGAAAGCTCTAGAACTGTTACAGAGGACCCTGTTGGGTTTGGCCCCTGTTGTAGGGAACATGGGAAGCACCTTTGGTGCTAGCTTTTGCTGCAGCTTCCCACAGCAGCTGTTCCCAAGCTGGTCCAGTCCTGCAGCCGGCACTGAGCCATTGCAGGGACAGCCTACGTATGTGCTGGGAGAGCACCAAAAACCAGCCTTTGCCAATCCCTTCCCCAGCTCTGCCCCAAAGCAGCAGAAAAGGAAATGTTGTCCATGCTGTGCAGAACCACCCAGAACAAATCCATGGAGGGCCTGGACAGATTTTGCAGGGAGGGAAGGGGGTTATCTGGGGAGTCAAGGTTCAGCCTACGGGCCTAGAACAAAGGGATGGGAGTTGGGCTAAGGGTCTTAGATGAATTTCAAGTTTTCTCCTGTGGAGAAGCCAGGCTTTGATGATGGCATGAATTAGGTCATCGTAGCCCTCACCTCTGGCCCATGTGCAAAGCAGACTTCTTTAGGCTTCCTTCTTTCTCTGCTGCTTGCACAGAAATCACACCCTCTGAAAATCATCCGTGCGCCCTTAGAGGCTCTCCCCAGTACACATTTCTCCCTCCCAAGAGGGGGATACAAATGGCTGCTGTGCAATATATATACTGGTGACTTCTGTAGATAACGAATGTGCAGTGTCTACAGGCCTCTACATCAGAGGACACCTGGACCTAGGCATCCTGGAAAACCATGCAGGCCTCAGGCAAAGAGACAGCAGCTGAAGGCAGGAACTGCTGGTGCCCAGGGGAGCAGAAAAGTCAGGACATATTCCTGACTAAACCAAAAACCCAAGCTCTGCCCAAGAACCCCAGTTCCTGCAGGTCAGGTTGGAAACGGATGTTCCTGTGACAGACTCTAACCATGCTTTCTCATTTTCTGTCTCCAAAGTGGTCCCCAGCGCTGCCACTGTCATCATTGTGGTGTGTGTGGGCTTCCTGGCACTCATGGTGATCCTTGGCATCCTGCGCATCCACTCCCTGCACCGGCGGGGAGTGGGGCAAGAGGTTCCTGGGGCTGCTGAAGGGGGGCATATGAGCACCGGGGGCAAAGAGAGCGACATGTTCTGGGATGACTCGGCCCTCACCATCATAGTCAACCCCATGGAGGTGAGGAGCAGCCACAGCGGCCGGGGCTGGGCAGGCAGCTGGGGTGCCAGATCCTTCCACTTACCCCCATGTCTCACCTCCCCAGTCCTACCAGAGCTGCCAGGAGAGGGCAGCAGAAAGCAGCGAGGGCAGAACTGGCGACGGCATGGAGGATGAAGATGACAGCACTGACTCGGAGACACCCGACTCCCCAGACAGCAATGACATGGATGACCGACACATCATCGGCAAAAGCGACAGCTCTCACCGCTACTAGGAGCTTTAAAACACCAGTCCAATGGATCCCCCAAAAACATATGGCTCGAAGGAGGAGGTGTCTTACTTCTTCCTTCCCCTACCGTGTACACATGCGCTCCTCCCTCATTTGTCATTTCTGCCTCCCATGTTCCTTCATCTTCTGCCATTCTCATTGTGGACATTCCCCACATTATTGACCCTGGCTCTCTAGAAACGTGTTAGGGCACTTGCACATGACAGTGGCACAGTTCAAACTCTGATGAGGAAGGAGGGGCTTGGAAAGAATGGAAATTTGGAAGGAGGAGCCAGTCACAGGGCTCAGAGTGGGGTCTCTCACAACCCCTCCCCAGATATTATATATATATATTGTATATTTTTTCAATGTTGTCGTTTGAGGTTTATTCTCGTTTCATGCAAAAAAAACCAACCCCACCACCGCAGCTTGTGTCGCTTTGTAAAATTGTTGATACTCCTAAACTAAATGAACGAAGGTAAGAAAGATGAGGAAGCAAAAGTGGATTTTAAAATAAATGGATTTCAAATAAAATGTTCAGGGCTTCTGCAGTTTTTCACTACAAGCAGGGAAAGAAACAGTCAGTGTAGCCTCTAATGTGAGACTGGAGATTGTCCAGAGCATGTATTAACTGAAATTATTGCCTTATCTTGGGGAAGGGTTACATTTTTTAGTGTATGTGTTGCAACAAGAAAAACACATCACCCCTCACCCTGCCCCCTGCCTTTTTGAGAGTCAAAATACTCTTTGTAAACACAATGTAGCCTTCCCCAGGACACAGTGCTAGGAACAGAAGGCATCCCAGCCTGTTACAGGCAAGTGTTAACTCACGCAGCAAACTGAATTCTTGATTGCAGAAAAAAAAATAAGGCTCCTTCCATACACTTAGTGTATCATCAATAGAAACAGGCCAAATCCTCAGCTTCATCTATCTTTTCACCTGATTCACTTTCTTTACCAGCATAAAAGAGTATTTTTCACACAGGGGTTCCAGCTTGTAGCCAAACAGCCCCCGCACTTCTGAGGAAAAGAGGTGTCTTCTCTTTCTGTTGGGAATCTCTTTCTACTGGGAATGGAGGGGATAGAAACACAACAGATACTGGCAAAGCATGGCTGTGAGCCCAGTAGCATGAGTTGTTAGGATAGTGCTTCATAGCAGGTTGGGCTTCTTCCCTTGACCTACTTGGTCAGACCCTGCAAGACAAAAAGAGGCCGTCAGCTGCCTGACACGTCTTGGGGCAACGGCTGCCCATGATATGGACCCAAAGGAAGATTCTGCAACAGGACATGTGCTGGCAGCCAAGGTTGAGAAATCCTCCTTAGGGGTAGGAAGGTTAGCACAGTAGGTGAAAGTGGACAAGCCCCTCTGAGGGCATGAAAGGTCTCAGCACAAGCTCTGTGCTTGCTGCAGTTCTCTCAGATGTCTCAGCTTTAGCCTGTCTTCACATCCAACTGTGCCCACGGATGGTTGTTACTGGGTCCAAAAGAAGTGAACATGCTGAGACGAAGATACTCTTATGCTTTCTCCTTTGTTTCCTTCCTAATAAGTTCCACGCCCTTGTTTCACACAGGGAACTTAAAGCACGCACTGTCAAACCAGTGCCTTGACATCTTGAAGCACCAGAATAATTCAAGTCTCCAGAAAGAAGAAAGGCTACATTGTGCACGTTGGAGCCAAAAATTTTGCACAAAATAGTCTTATGTCCTGAGAATGCTACGCCTGACCCAGTTCCGATATGAGATGAAAAGCATCACCTCTCAGAGCATGGAAAAAGGCCAAGTCTTAGGACCATGAGGTCCCTGTACCTCTACAGCAGCCTCAGCCAGGTGCTACAGTGTGCTTACAAGGTGGAAGAGGCCAAATGTACGATGAGTTCATACGTAGCCATCATGATAGCTGTGTTTGGGATCTGGCGAATCAAGTGAGCCAGGAGCCCTCGGTATAAAGCCAAGGGTCCCTCTTCATGGACCACAAGCTGCAGAGTCTGTATAAAGGAACGGTATCGTGAGCCTTCTTCTCGCAACCGTGTCCGAATGACCTCTGGAGAGACAAAGCAAAAAGTGACGTTAGCAGGCTGATCCTACAGGCATGGCATCTCCCATCCAGGGGAACAGAAGCAAGGAGAGTAGACCCACTCACCATGTGGATATGCAATGCATGAAGCACATGTTTTGGAAACAGCAGCAGCTCCCATTAGTCCAAAGAAATCATGGCTGTTTGGTGAAAGCGTGAGTGGTGGGGAAAGGGAATGATGGCTGTTTCTCAGCCGCTGTTTCAGTGCTTCATAGATGACAAAGTGTATGATGGTCTCTGACACTCCAGCATAGGAAGCAGTGATACCACGGTAAAATCCACGAAGGCCTTCAGTACGGTACACATGCATGGCACATTGGAGAGCATTGCTGGCCATCTCCCCCTTCACCCTGTAAAGAGGAGGGAGGGTTAGAACAGCGTACTGTGCCACTGACCTAAAATGCTGTTGTGGATACAACTGTATGACTCTTCCCCAGCATGCCTTGAAGGCCTGCGTTCTGATGGCAAGTCACAGACCCAAACCCCACCCCCAATCCAGTCCTGATTTGACATGGAGTGGCTCGGCGTTGCTAGCCTGCCTTACCTGGTCTCCAGCTGCATCCTGGTTTTCACTAACCAGATAGGGTTGGTGAGTGTGGCAGAGGTAATGCCTGGAGAACAGAAGAGGAAGGCAGCCATGAGCACCAGGATCATGCTGACAGTTTGTGAGGAGATGCTGATCTATCAGCTCTCTGAATTCTGCTTGGCAAGCTGCAGGCATTTGCAATTTGAGAATGACCTTGAGCTCCGATGGGAGAAGAGATATTTAGGGCAGACTATCTGATTCTCCTCCTCCCCCATTCCAGCCTTTGTCTGGTGGTAATTAGCTCCTCTGCCTCCAACATAACCCTACTACAGGCCCAGGTGTTACAAAGAGGCAGGAAACAATGGGTTAAACTTGCAAGAGTGCAAGATTTTGTTAGAGAACCGGGATATATCAAGAGAAATGATTCTGTGAGTGGTCTAAATCACACACTGCCTTCTCCCTCTCACAGCTGAATGGAGCTCTTTTCCTGATAGCAGCTGAAGGGGTAAAGACTAGATCCATAACTTGAAGAGATGAGCTTAAGAAGAACAAAGAGTGAGAAAAAGTTTTGGTTAACCAAGGAACTCACTGCTTCAGGTGTGGAGGGACAAAACTTCAGAAGAGAGAGCAGGACTGATGGGAGCAGCAATAGGGAAGGAATGAAACCCATTTACACTCACAGCAGGACCCCTTGGTTCTGATTTGAGACAGAAGAGGCTCACCTGCACAGGCTGCTGACAGCATGTGTACTTTCTTGGACTCTGGTACAAGGACAGCATTGAGCCTCTCCTTAACGCCAGAATAGGCAGCAAAATATATAGCCCTGGTTGGAAAGAAACACAGAACAGGTTACAGCTTACCTATGAGGAGCAGAGACAGCACTGCTGTGGGGTCTCACTCCAATTTTTCTTACTCCCAGCACAGGTTTGTCTAATGTGACATCAGACAGCATTTATACTAGGCCCTCAGCAATCTGCGTGAAAGGGTCCTGTGGCACAATGAGCACAAGGCCCAGGCTGCTTTCAGAATGTGGAGCAGTAGCTGTCACAGAGGTCCTTTAAAAAGTGTACAGCATGAGCTATCCTCAGGGAGCAGTACTCACCGGGAAGGAGCAACCCCAACAAGGTTTGGACCCAGACCTCGGAATAGGGATCGCATGCCTTCCTTCTCAAGGATGGCCCTACAGAAGGAAATGAACAGAGAAATCAGCAGAATAACTAAGCTGGGGGCTCTCCAGTTCCTCCTCCTCCGTTCTTCAGTAGTCCTTGTAGCATCCTCTCCTCACCTCCCATCTTATCTTTTTCTGCCTTACTCTCATGTTCTCTCCAAACACTTCTCCGTTTGCCTTCAGTCATTTCTTCCCATTCTTGCTGACACCACCACTCCGTAGCTGAGAAATTTCTCACAGTCCCAAAAGCTGCCTTGCAGACTCAGAGTGCAAAGCACAGATCAACTGTGAGAAGTAGATGTACCTGTACTCTGATGAAAATCCCTACCACACTTGCACTTTCCAGAGCCTTAGCTCAAATGCTGCTTCCATCTCTCTCTCCCCTCCTCTCTCTCTACCTGATGACCAAACCTTCACCTCCCTGGTGCTATCATGCACACTCCCTATCCTACTCACCTCAGCAACTTCAGCACTCCAGGAGACGGTGGGGTGGGGTTCATCAGCCTCACACTCATCCCTGGCAGCTGTATCTCTGAGAAGCACAGAGGCCGCAGCGTCAACTGGGATGACTGCAGACGTGTCTTCACCACTTCCAGGGGACAGGTCAGGATGGCTCCAGCTGTGCCACCACATCTAGGGCATAGCAAGGGCATAACAGCACATGTAAGAGTGACCCCTGTGCAGGAACAGGGCAATAATTCTGACCCTGCTCATCCACAACCTCTCCCCTCTAGGAGAGGAGGTTAGGTCCCCCAGTCTGCGTCACACATGACCTCCTGCTCTGACATTGATTAACGTAATAAGGCAGCCTCACTCTGAAACCTCACTCAGTGTTTGAGACAAACAGTCCCAAGTCCATAGGGACTCAGCAGTCCCTCAGCTCAAAGCTGCTGATCTTTGCATTCAGAATTTCCCAGAGCAAACATTTCTGCTGCCCAACCTCACTGCAATGCCTTCTGCTGAGATCACCAGGCACAGTGCCTCACACCTCCCCATGGCAGCATTGGCTCATAGAGGGGCAGCAGAAAACTCTCCCACCCCATTCAGCCCCACATTTGCAAGGTCTCGTAACCAGGATCTGTATTTTCTGCCAACAGCCAGGCTCACCCCTAGCCTGACTTGCTTAATGAAAGAGGACTCTGACCTTCAGCAGACAGAAGCTATTTTTGGAACTGATGAAACATCATCATCAGTCTAGTCACACCTCAGTAACACCGAAAGGACACATATCCCCTTTTTTATCCCTTTCTGCCATCCAGGGACAAGTCAGAAGCGATATGTTCAGTTCTCAGCTTCTGCCCCTTCAGATCCTTTGACCGATAACTCTGTTCTTCTAGAGGATGCTCAGTACCTGAAAGTCTGTTTTGAGGTGAATTTGCATGGGACTGCCATGCAAGAGGCTTTGACAAATAGACAATTGTTCATATCTGCTACAGCCAAACTTGCTTTGTTTCACAAGAGATGGAGGCTTAAAAAAAAGCTCGCTCTGCTCCAAAAGAAAGAAAAGCCAACCAAAGAGCTACAAGATATCAGGAAAGAATTGAGTGTATCAACAGAATTACATATGATGGCACAGGACAGCAAATGGCAATAGTTCTGAAGAATTTTTTTGAAAAAGTATTTACGGCTCAGCACACATATACATTGCTCTCACAGCCTTTGTTCCTAGGGCTTCACTTATTATTGCCTGCAGGTTAGGGAAAAAAAAGAAGAAAAAAAAAAAAAAAGAAAAGAGGCCTGGATGGCTATTGCAATGAAGTCCAAGAGTTGAAGATCTGGCAGCTAGAAGGTTATGCAGATAATGATGCCAGCAACTAGCAACTCGTTATGCTACTCCGTTACACTCATGCTGCTTTGTCAAGCCCTTTGCAGATCTACACAGTGGTGATGACTTGCAGAGCAGCCAATCAGCAGCGATTTCCCTCAGGAGATACTGTGAGTGGTGGGAGTCTGGGACTAGGTGGAACATGGCCAAAGAACTTAGCTCGGGCTCAGATGGCAACACAAAGCAAAGCAGTAAACATCCTGGCTCAGGTTCTCTGGATGAACAAGCTGATCAAGCACAGACACCAAGACAGCCTACAGAGCAATCCAGGAGTCACACGAGGCAGGGCCTCATTTTACAAAAGCCACTGTGATTCTTTCCATGGAGACCATATAACTCAGGGTCCAACAGTCCTGTTCTTTACCACAGTTTCTACTAATTTGCCTGATACAGGCCTGTTGTCTTCTTGACAACACTTCTTGAGAAGTGTAGTTTCCTGCCTAGGAGAAGATGGAGTGCAGTGGTGACAGATCAAGATGTCTAAGAAATCTCAATAGAGCAGTTTCAACTTCTTATCTAAAAGCTGAGCAAATACTACAACAGGGTAACATTTAGAGAAGCAATTGCTTGGTATCCTAAAGATTTTTCTTTCTAACAGTGCATAAGGAAGCACAACTTTATGTAATGTTTTCATAATATCTCATTTCTTCAAGAAATCCCTACCTAAGCATGGTCAGGATATGAATTTGAACCCACGCCTCCAGTATATATAAAAGTTTCCTGAGTTCAAGTTCCTCAAGCTACTGGTATGTATAGATAATAGAGAAGAATTTTAAAAGCGATAAGAGTTAAAGAAATTGTTACTCATTAGCATGGTGGTCATTTAATCAGCAGTAAGAGAGTCCAAGGTGAAGGGGGATCTCTGAGCCACTATGGCTCAATGGCAACACTGAGGAGGATTTTTCAGGAAGCAAAGAACACTGACTAAACAAAGCTAAGGAAATAAGGTGTACCAGTTGTTCAAAACTAGAAGAAATCTCAACTATGATGTCTTATCACACACTACATGATGATACAGCTGCTCACAAGGTACGAAAGGTATAGGTCTCCAAAATTCTTCTGTTTCAGGAGAAATGGAAAATTATGTACTCTCATCACAAAGAGACGAACTATTTTTCAGTCCAATACTAATGAAGGCAAAATTGAACAAAATCTATTTGGAACAAACAGGCAGACACAAAACCCCCATGGCCATGGATATTAAAAATAGTTGATTGAAGAGACTTCATACCTACAGATTTAAATGCTTAAGAAATGTTAGGAGACGGGAAATATACTAGCTTAGAAGAGTTCTAATGTCTACCAGGAGTAAAAAAAAAAAAGGAAAAAAAAAGTGTATTTGTAATAATTTATGTTGCTAAGATTATATGGTTATATGACCTGAGATTCATGCTAGAAAAGCATTATGGAATCAGATCACTATAGAGTTAAAAGACACATTGTACTAATCAATGTGTGTGTGTGTGTGTGTGTGTGTTTAATGGAATTTACCAAACAAAAGGTGGATTCACAAAAGCAATTACAAAGATGTAACATATGTAACATACTTCAGTTTTGCAAATAGTGAGCTTGATATTTCACAAAAACACACTTAGATCTTTGGCACTCTGTCCACAGCATAGATGCTGAATGGATTAAAATCAGACCACAAAATTTCAAAAAGAAGAAAAGTATCAGCCCGTCTTTCCTTGCCCTGAAACCAGTTGTCAGTAGAGAATTAAACAGCAGTGGTCCAGCAAGAGTGTAGGAACATCACTTCTAGACTAGACCTAACAATTTTCAGTTCTTCCACCAACACACAGGAGGTAACATTTTACTCTTGATAAAAATCCATGGGTGACAAATATTGTCACAGTACTGAGCAAAGCTGCAATGGCTGGCAACTAACGAAAAAACACACGGAACTGAGCAGTCACCAAGGGTCCTTATACTGGGCTTAAACTGACAAGTTTAACAAAACCAAAATCCCGAAGTCATTACTCTAGAAGCAGGAACAAAAGCAATTCCTGCAAAATATGAGGAAGAGCAGCAGCTGACAACCAGTACACTATGTACTCCCAGAGCAAAGCAGTGGCAAAACCAACTGATTGAAGAAGGCAGGTACTTTTACCTTAGAAAACAGTACTTGCCTCTAGATCTTGCTGTCACATTTTAAAAGGAAAACCAGAAAGTTGGAGGTGGCAGAAAAAGAGGATTAGTTGAGAACAATACAAAAACTACTGTTAACATTTTTTCAATGATCTGACAAAGGTATGAAAACATGCACAGAGGTGACAAGGTTTACTGGTAGGTCACATTTTAGCCCTTACTTAGGCTAGCCAAAAATTGAGATGGCTTGAAAAGCTTTATTTAAGAATAGTAATGCTAGGTCAGACAAATCTGCAGTTAAACCAGGATTCTGCCTGGGACACAGGCAAATAAAGATCACCTACAGAAGAGTAGGAGAAATACTCATCTCCAGAACACTCTCCCAGCTTCCCGCAATTTTCAGCTCAGGGATTTTCCTCAGCCAGAAATGCTGCATTGCATTTAATAGCCTTCAACACATTCTTTTCCATTAATCTTTTTAAAATGTTTTCTGGACACATAAAAAGCTTTTACCCTCTAATATCCTGTGGCCAGGAGTCCCACAGTTTAACTGCACACTGTGTTAAGAGCTATGTTCTTGCATTAGTTTTGAACAAACCTCTCGCAAGTTTCATTTGATGGTCCCCACTTCTCGTAGTAGAAGATAAAGTGAACAACTGTTCCTTCATCAATGAGATCCATTTCATTAGGTAAAACAATAGCATTAACTATATACTGCAGCAATAACCTGAACTTCTTATTCATCTCTTATTCATCTCTTCGGTTTTAATTAATTGTAATTCAAGGATTATTGCTTGATGAGCGAGGACAGGATACAGACTGAGAAAGCTCCCGCTAGCAATGCTCCTCTCACTAGCCAAATTCGCAGTTTTTCAGGAACCAAACTAGAAAACGAGGACGAGGAAAAGCTTAAGAAGAAAGTGCAGAAATAGGAAGAATTATATTAAGAAAGGCTAAGATGCAGTGACTATATAGTTCAAAGGATAAATTAATAAAAGAGAATAACATATACAAAATAACACTGGGAATAGAGAGGGCAAGTACATATAAGCAAAGATCAGCATAGCACAATAACTGCATTAGCTCCAGAAAGCTGGACATTTACTAATTAAGAGCAATGAAATGCTGTGCTTTATTGCACACACTATACTGCGGACCTCATTGTCACACGGACTCCAACAGGCTGGTGGAATTTGGAAAGGCATCAGGTGGCTGTCTAGGCAAGGGAGTTCTGCAGTTACTCAGCAAAGTCCAGAGGACCATGATCTCTTCTGCTTTAGGACATCATAAACTTAAAACTCATTGTTTTGAGACTTAAATGTTTCTTAAAAAGAGGAAGGGACTTGCTCAAGGGCACGCTGTGAATTCAGAGGCACTGCTGGGATCCACGCTCCACACACCTGACTCACCAGAATCGGCCTCAGTATTTAAAGAAGCCATGCAGGAATCTCAGCCATGTGATGATGGAGTGCTGGCTGCCCTCCCAAAGACAAGGATGCTCCACCGTTTACTCCACTGAAGAGGCCTCACGGTGCCTCTCATTCCCCTGTCCAGCGCCCTGCTTCCTTTGCCCCCCCCCATGGCCAGTAAGCTCAGGCTGGATGAAACGCCAGGCAAAGACCCCCACGACTCACAGACAGGCTCCCCTTCTTCCCAAACTGCACTGCCGTACATTCACCCCAGTGCTACGTGGCTGTGCCACACCAACGCGCCTACGTTTGAACCTGGCGCAGCAAAGCAAGCGCCGGTGAGGATTTATGGGGCACAGGCAGTATCTGGCCTGGGGCAAGGCAGGGTCTCCTCCCCTCCGGCTCTTTGGCAGCTGCTGCTGGACGTGCGGACCCGCAGTCGGTCCCCAGCGCAAAACAGGGCCGCGACCCGA